TATGCTCATGTGGGTGTGAAATTGCCTCGAAATACTAAATTTTTAATTAAGTTGAAAAATGGAAGTACGGGGAGGGTGACATCGTAGAATTCATAATATTAATATCTTGGTGCTTCCCGGGAAGCTGAGAATGTTTCGGAGTGTTCTATGGTCTGCTGGGGTAATAATATAGTGTAAAGCGCATAGAGCCTGCTGTTGAGCGGGGATATGCGCTATACAAATGCTATCTATTATTATTATTATTAAGTTTTTTCCCCTAACTTGTCAGACCCAAAGTAAAACTGTTGTGGAGGATGTGTCCTCTTTCTACATAAAGTAGCTTCTATAACACTTGTCTCGCAATCCAATTGAAAAGTATAGTGTGTAATTCCCCCATTTTAATAATAATATACAATTCTATTCTTTATTACAGTTTATTAAGACATTTTTCTAAAATAAAGCTAACAGGTGTTTACACAAATATTGATCTGTTAAGACAAATTGATGCACGTCCTTGTGCAAAAACTGGAGACTTTATGTTTGATAGTTGAGGAAATATTTGACAATAGGTTGATCCACGAACTTTTGACCGAACTATAATAATGATTAATTTTGAGGTTAATGCATAGTCTCGTATTAAAATATTTTAGACTGGTTACTTTGGCGTAATCCTGGTTTACTGTGGAGGACACTATTTGATTCAATTTGGAGCCAAATGAATGATAAGCAATGGAAAGGCGATGTGCGTACCAGATTATAGGTGAAACTGATGAAATTTCGTTTTTTTCTCTTCATTTAGCCTTCATGATGCTCACGTGTCGCAGTGAAGTTTTTATTGAGAGCAAAGAGCCACAGCCTCGACAGTTTGCACAGAGCAGAGTCTATTTTTTTAAAAAAAAGGATATTACACTTTCCCCCGATCATATATAAACATAGAGAGGTCAATGCAGCATTGGATGCTCAAATATCAAAATAGTCAAATTACTTCAACACAGAGAGTAAATCCAACACAATGAAAAACGTCAGAAAATGTCAGCTCAAATGTAATCCCAGGAGAGCCAAAGTGTAAACATTAGGGAAATCAAATTCTTCATTGTCAGTTCAAATGCAGGATAGGAAAGTTCAAATTCAACAATACGAAAAAAAACACGAAGCTATGATGTAACCATCGCCTCTGAGTCAGGGGAAGCCAGAGAGTATTTAATTATATATTTTAGTGTCTCTGGGGAAGCTACCCTGTCTCTTAGCAACTTTGTTTACTGTTCACGTCTCTCGCATTCAATACTCACCGTCTGCTCTCTAATCTAGATCTAGATCTACACTTTTCTCCCGATCATATATAAAATAGCGAGTCCAAATGCAGCAATGGAAGTTCAAATCTGTCTCTTCTTAGCCACATTCGTTGTTTACTGTTCTCGTCTCTCTCCGTCAGCTGTCTAGATATCTAGATCTTGGTGCTTTTTCGGTAGTTCCCACTCCCCTTATTTGAGCCTGACCTACATCTAGATCTAGATCTATACGTTTGATTCGCGGTGAGCTAAGATATCAAACCTAACAACTGCAAAACATTAAATTATGGTAAAATTCAGGGGGGCATGCACTAGTTCTAGATCTAGAAATAGATATAGATTATGCTGTCTATCTAGAATCTTAAATCTAGAGATCTAGAGATCTAGCTGATCTAGATCTATATCTATATCTAGATTTAGATCTAGAAATCTAGATTCACTCCCACAATGGCCGTCATGTAAATAAACGGGACCGCAATTATACAGGAGTGCCGAAACCGTGCACTGAAAAAGAAGCCGCTTGAAACTAGTAGACTCCAGGCCTACAGAAACAAGTAGGCCTACTGTTGATAATTATGATAGATCTAGTAGAGACCTCTGAATCAAGTTGCATGATAGGCCTAGTGTGTCTCCGCCAATTCACAGGCGAGTAGTCAAGAGTCGCTCTTCGGTCATTCGCCCACCAGGCCACCACTAGATTTAAATCATCTACTTTCCGAACTGCACGCTCTTGGCAGGGTGCACAACAAAATCTACGTTTATTCATTAAATACTCTCTCTCTCTCTCTGGGCTAAAATAAATAAATTATAGATCTAGATCTAGTAACACTAGATCGACACACCGCCCTTGCATTGTAACCAATGTAAACTACCGGTCGCTCAGCGAGCCAATCACAATCCAACATTTTTGGGGTCCACCTAGACCCCATGACTACGTAGACCCCAATCGGGGGGCACGTAGACACTTCCTTTTGGGTTAGGCCCTAATGTTTCCATATAACCGGAAGTTCTCTGTCTTTAAAGATGTGTTGACTACGTCACATGAAAATGTTTTCCGGTTGTTACACGTCTTGAATTGTGAAAATAACGCCGTGACCCTTTTTATTTACAAAGAATAATGAACTTCATTATTTTCATTCTATTGTTTTTTTCCTTTGTTGGAAAAGAATTGGCAAGTAAGATTACTGTTTTGTCAACATCTGAAGTCATCAATGTCCTCTTTACTCGCTTCTTTGACCTCTCATTTTTTTAAAACCAGAATTATTCATCTAGAATCTAGATCTAGATCTAGAATCTAGATCTAGAAATATAGATCTAGATGTCTAGAATCTAGATTGTAGATATAGAGTATCTAGATATAGAATCTAGATCTACATCTAGATCTAGATCTATTTGAAATGTTCTTATCGGCCATAGCAGATGTCACAAGACAGTAAGTCATCTAGATCTAAACAAACATTAATCCTTCTAATTCTTATGTTTCGGTTGAAAGATATTCTCCTCTGCAGATGCATTGGTCATCGTCAGACACTGACGGGCAAATTCCTCTTCTTCTTCTCCTTCTCCTTCTCCTTCTCCTTCCCCTTCCCCTTCCCCTCCTGTTGAATGTGGTCGGTGGTGGCGGTGGCTAGAGGCTTTGAGGTTGTGATTTCACCGCGCGATCACACGGGGGCCTGGCCGCGCCATATAACCCGCCGGGCTGTATCGGAATTTCTTCAGTTGGCTGTTGACACCCGCGCTCGTCGGGACCAGCGACACCAAAAGCTTGTACTTGTACCACCGTACTACCACTGTTGTGTAGGATTTCTCGTGTTTTCTCTCTGGTTTACCTTGATCAACAACAACGCCCGGGATATTTCTGCTACTGTTGTTTATATTGTTGATCAGTTTTTTCCAGTTTCAAGGAAACTTTTTGGATAATTATGACAATGGCAAACGCCACTTCTTCAACGCCCCATCGACCCTCGCCGAGCGCTTCCCTCAGAAAGGTAATTATTTACATTTGGTTTCTACGATTATTAACGTAAAGTAATAGGCAAGTTATTATTTTTTATTTACAATGTGGTGTTTGTTATTGTTATAGCTCCTTTTTCTCATAGGCGTACTCATGAACTTCATTATCTTTCTTAATTTTTTAGCCATTAATTTTTTGTTGTTGTTAATGAAATAATTTAGATTAGCCAAGGCAACTGTGTGCCGAAAGTTGTTTGAAGCTTGTCTGCGCTCGGCGTTTGGTGTATCTAGATCTAGATTAGATAGATTTAGAATCAAGATCTGAACGCGCTGACTGAAAGTACTGCAGTTACTGGAGACCCTAAATCATAATAGAATTATCAAGGTTAATATAGAAATGTGCAGCTTTTGGTGGCTGTTTTGTTTACTTTTTATTTTATTAGGCCCAGATAGTGCCATTCTAGTCTAGTGGCCTGGCCTCCTCTGTTTTATTGTGGGTTTTTTTCTAGTTTTGCTTTGTTGGTAGCCAACAACGAGCGGTCGCTTTGTGCGAACGTTGCAACCACCATCGATCCATCGGTCAAGACTGTCATGTGCTGACACTTGCTTACTTAATCGTTGTTTTTGTGTTCTTGCTTAGTTAGGCCTATACTTCAGTACGAAGTGAGGCTTGAATTATATATCTTTATGCTTCCTTTTACATAAGTTTGCCTGTGTGTCTAACTGTCCGTGCCTTGTGTTCCCCAGACTAACAAACCTCTGATGGAGAAGCGCCGACGTGCCCGCATCAATGACTGCCACACAAAGCTCAAGTCTTTGGTCATACACAGCTCCAAGAAAGATGTAAGTCTTCTGTCTTGTCATTTCATCACCCAGCAGATTGTTTT